CGCTTTTCCTAAACTCCTCTTGAGTTGTGAGACATGGATAACCGGGTGGATCTGAGAACTTTCTGGTAATTCTAGGCGGTAAGCTACCTGACCAATGCGCTTCAGAATCTGATAAGGTCAATAATAGCGAACCACAAGCTTAGTCGCTGCCCTTTGTGCTGTCGTGCATTGTCTGAATGGTCGTAGCTTCAGGTAGACATACTCGCCTGGCGAAAAATTTTCCTCACGCCTTTTCCCATTTGCGAAGGCTTTGGTTCGATTAATTGAGCCTTCGAGATTTTTCTTCAATTCTCGCAACATCAGATGTCGTTCCTCTAATTCTCGATCGACCTCATCATTAACCGTACTTCCATCTGCATAGTTGACCAATGTCGGAGGTTTTCGCCGGTACAGCAGCTCGAATGGTGTCATCTTGGTTGACTCGTGATATGTGGTGTTGTAACAATACTCAGCCCAAGGTAAAAAGTTTTCCCACCGCTTCGGAAATTGATGGATGTAGCATCTCAAGTACTACTCAAGGGTTCGATTGGTTACCTCAGTTTTTCCGTCTGTCTGTGGGTGGTAGGCTGAGCTCATAGATAACTTGGTCCCTTGCAACTTGAAGAATTCAGACCAAAAGCTGCTCATAAAAATTTGGTCTCGATCAGAGACGATGGATCGTGGTGCCCCATGCAGCTTAATCACGTACTCCACGAATAGCCTAACAGTCGACTTTGCAGTATAAGGATGAGTGATAAGTATGAAGTGAGCATACCTTGTGAGACGATCCACCACGACCATAACACCGTCAAATCCATTCGAACTCGGTAACCCCTCTATGAAATCCATAATAATGTCTTCCCATATTGCCTCGAGTACCGATAGTGGTTGTAACAGCCCGCTCGGTCGTCGTGAGTCAGACTTAGTGTGTTAGAAATCGTCGCACCGTGCTATGTAATCTCGGACAATATTCTGTTATCCGGGCGAGAAGAAAGTGTTGGATACTCTCGTCCACGTGCGTTAGTGTAACGCCCCATTTGAATTAGAATTATTTGGGATTAATTATTGGTTTATTATTGCCATTATTATTGCTTATTTATATTATATTACTATTAGTAAATATTTATTTGTGATTATATGTCTAATTGTTTTAAATGCCTATTATTATTATTATTGTGTGTATTATATAATATATATATATAAGTATGTATATAATACCGGTTTTATTTATTTCTATCGAATCGATCGAGAAATTTTTTATTATCGCGTTGATTTTTTTTTTCAGCCCGATTAAATTTATCTCAGGCCCAATGTTTATATTATTAATTTCAGCTTTTGAATTTATATTGGCCCAAACTCCTTGTTGCTAGTTGGCCCAAATGACATTGTTTTGTAGCCCATTAACTATTTTGTAAGTGACCCAAGATGTAATAGCGGGCCTTCTCTTCTTCCTTCTACGCCGAGACCGAGTCTCACATTATCTGCTCATTCAAAAATCTGGTAGCGATCTCTCCTCGCACGTTCTCCCATCTTATCTCTCCCTCTCGCCTATTTCAGTTGAGAACCGAGCAGATAATCGCAATCTCTCCCTCAATCTCTCTGTTCTCTCGTTAGCAGGTTTCAAAAAAAAAAAAAAAA